TTGCGATGGTCACGCGCCCAATGACTTCGCACGGAGGGAGGGGAACGGGGCTTTGGCGGCTGCGCTTTTTGCATGTTGTGGTTTCGGTGGCGGGGTGGGGCGTGGCGGGGCGTCGATCGGCGCTGATTTACCACACCACACACAAGGGCCGCGCCACAAGAACGTGACGAGTCGAGATGGCAAGAAGAACGGGACGGTATATAAGACTATATGGCGGGAGAGAGAGAGGGGGGGGGGATACAAAGATATTGACAAAGAAGAGAGGCGAGCGGGCGGGAGGAAGGGAGAGACACGTAGGAGAGCAGAGGGAGAGACGAGGCAGGGGAGAGGGAGAGAGAGAGGCATTGGTGGAGAGATTCCAACGCAAATCGGCCCTTTGTGTTTGCCTCCAGCGGCAAAGCAATGACCGCGAAACTTGTCCGTTTTATTTTTCGTTTATTACAGAGCGGCGGCGAGCGCTTGGTTTTGTTTTCTGGAGGGAGAGAGAGAGAGGAAGGAGGAGTAGGAGAGAAACGTGGAGAGGGGGGGAGGGGGGCGGCGGACGGGTAGAGAAGGAGAGAAACGAAGGTGCGCGCGGGAGGGTGCCGTGTTCTCGCCGGAGCGAAGGGCCGACCGACCCGAAGGGCCCTCCTCGGGATCTGGTTGAAGTCTCGTACACTACGACAAGTCGAGCATGCGGCTGCGGCTACGCAGTGTACAATATCACGGAACAAGAGCGATGATTTTCTGGGCGCGCAACTATGGGTTTCCCTTTGCTGCCAAAACGCCGCTGTTGGGAACAACGTTCATTGGGTGAGCGATGAAAAGCTTCTTATATCCCATCAAAGGCGCCCCTTTCAGCTCTGCTAGTCTTTGCCGTACGTAGGAGGCGAAGGCGAATAAGAGAGTCCTTGTTGTTTGGGAAAAAAGTAACGTCCGTACCTGACAAGATTGAGAGAGGGTTTTTGGTCTTTGCATCGGAATCAAAATTCTTGCAAGACCCGTCGAGAGTAGTAGCTCTCTGCCGCCCGAGCCGGCGGAGGGGCGGTCAGGGCGAGGAGTAGCTTGGAAGTAGCTCTCTAACAAGAGCCCCCCCCCCCACCACCACCACCACCAATCGCGTCGCTACCGGGACCTAACCCTGTTTGAAGTTGAAGTTGGTGCACCACTCGGAGTGTGGGCGGCGGGAGCGGCCGCATCGCACGGAACGCTCTAGCGGAGAGCGGCACGCAAACAGCAGGGTGTGGTGGTTTCCATTCAAACGCCC